ATAGTTATTGATCAAGCCTATCAGTTATGCGGGGTTTGCTGCCAAAAGAAAATATTGTTTCTTTGTTTCATGTGGTTACCCCTACCCTTATCTCCAAGACAAAATGAAAATTTAAAAAGCAATTCATTAGCTCAAAAAAAATTAACTAACTTAGTAAGTAAGTCAGGTAAATAACCTGTTTTGCAAAATTGGATTCTGTGTACTTTGAAGAGTGAAGTGGAACTTTTGTAGTACAGTAAGTTTGCCTTGTGTTTCCTGCAGTGCTATAGAAAAGGGCTCGTTTCAAAATAGTTGCTGTCATCCATTACATCTTTCTTATTATGTCGTCAATCTATAAGCTTCCATTGACTCCCCTCCCAATATACCCACAGGTATTTGAGCAGACCATTTGATGAGAAATCGCATGCATCTGTTGATGGCAAGGCTCTTGACCCGAGTCTTGTGGATGTCACGGAAGTAGCCTCTGCCAACTGAGAAATGGTATTCAAGGAAGTGCTCATTAATAGAAAGCAGAGAGTAGACCTGCCCTTGACTCCTTTATATGTAACTAAAGGAGAGAGGGAGGTAGCATCTCAACNTAAAGAAATTGTGGCTTGGCGAGTAACACTGCGACGCGAAAGGTGACTTTGTTGTTCCTGGATTGTAGATATTAATAACGACATGTATTACAGACAATCTGCATCACACATAGCCAGTAACTGGAATAGTTATTGATTAAACCTATCAGTTATGCGGGGTTCGCTGCCAAAAGAAAATATCGTTTCTTTGTTTCACGTGGTTACCCGTACCCTTATCTCCAAGACAAAATGAAAATTTAAAATGCAATTAATTAGCTCAAAATAATTAACTAACATAGTAAGTAAGTCAGGTAAATAACCTGTTTTGCAAAATTGGATTCTGTGTATTTTGAAGAGTGAAGTGGAACTTTTGTAGTACAGTAATTTTGCCTTGTGTTTCCTGCAGTTCTATAGAAAAGGGCTCGTTTCAAAATAGATGCTGTCGTCCATTACAACTCTCTTATTATGTCCTCAATCTATAAACTTCCATTGACTCCCCTCCCAATATACCCACAGTATTTGAGCAGACCGTTTGATGAGAAATCGCATGCATCTGTTGATAGCAAGGCTCTTGACCCGAGTCTTGTGGATGTCACGGAAGTAGCCCCTGCCAACCGAGAAATGGTATTCAAGGAAGTGCTCATTAATGGAAAGCAGAGAGTAGACCTACCCTTGACTCCTTTATATGTAACTAAAGGAGAGAGGGAGGTAGCATCTCAACTAAAGAACATGAAGAAAGCTGATTTAGTCAAAAGGTTTGAAAACCTTGTATCCAAATTTTCAGATGAGTCAGCAATCAGATTTTATACGGAGCAGTTAGGTAACATCCAAAAGAAGTTGGCATCCACCAAGAAAGAAATCATTATTGCCTCTGTGAAGAGATTGAGCAGCAAGAAGAACTACTCAACGTGCAGAATCAGGAAACCACAACAACAGATAAATGACACTTGAATGGTCGTGTCCTTTATTTATATTTAACAGTGAACAGTAATGATCTTTCAAATACAAAGTCTATTTNCAAAACAGATGAATGACATTTGAATGGTCGTGTCCTTTATTTATATTTAACAGTGAACAGTAATGATCTTTCAAATACAAAGTCTATTTTTCCTTCTCTAAATGAGGGCCATGAATATAAGTTATCAATTCTAAGATTGTACACTTTATTTGAAAGATCTTTGAAAATTGAAGGTATTTTGTCACTGTTTAGCAATGTACATTTATGTAAATAATGAAAGAACACTCAAGTAAATTAATGTAAATCATTATATAAACTTGTGAACAATTTGCCACTATCTGGTTTTCTGATACGTTTTCTGGAATTCAACAAGAAAAGTCGATTGTGCAAGAGAACATGTGTAATCTATTTTTAACTGCAATGCGAAATAACAAAACAGATATAGCAAAGGATGAGTTTAATGTGTGTGGGATTGAACTGGGGGGCAGCAAAACTAAACCACTCTCACTACTTTGCCGTCTCAAGCCAAACCAAAAGTCCAGTAAGTTCCATTTATGGTTTCTTATTTCAAGGTTTCAGGAAACAATAACAAAAACATTATATGCAGATGACTATGGGGATGAAATAATTTTAAGCAGTGCCCATGACATTAACTCTGCCTGGAATTTTAAGGTTTTAGGGGGTGGTGGTAAGGGGAAGGGGGGAGGGGGCTTGTAGCTATGGAAATTATTTTTCCTGTACTCAGCCCTTATCCTGACTCNTCTGCCTGGAATTTTAAGGTTTTAGGGGGTGGTGGTAAGGGGAAGGGGGGAGGGGGCTTGTAGCTATGGAAATTATTTTTCCTGTACTCAGCCCTTATCCTGACTCAGAACAACTGGTATAGGTTTATCCAACAATACTTTTTTTACCGGACCTGCGGTGGGCATGTCGAGAAATCTTTTAGATCTGGCTCTACCAACTATGGCTGAAAGTCTACCTGTACTTTGGCCAGCAGCTGGACTAGGTGTCTGTTCTAGTGGACAAACTACTGCACCGTTCGCGCAATTTTCTCCACATCTACCTCGCGTTTCTTCTTTACCACTGCCGTTTAATTTGCCAGACAAATATTCCTCTCGTAAGGATCCTGTTCCAAAAAACCTCCTTTCTCTTTGGTGTTGAACTACAATGAGTACCTCTACCCCAGTCATTTTGTTCAGCTTAAACCCCGATTGAAATAAGCCTTTGCGTCGCTGGTACAAAACTTTAGAACGCTGGCGAGGGTCTTTTTTAAGTGTAACGTTGTCCTTTCCCTTTTTTGACCTTTTTAGACCTTTATCTTGATTTATGTCTTGCCTGTGAAATAGAAAGAAATGAAATGATGTGTTGGATGCAGGACACGTGGGGTATGAGTGTTGAATCGAGGTTTCGTGTGGTACAACTGGGCTACGCTCTAATTAGATGTTGTAGTTAAGCAATATGAGTTATAGCTTTTTATCCTTACTTGGATTT